ATCACAGTTCTCATGACATTAATAATTCATGGATACAGAGGCTTCTAATTTTGTTTACAAAGTGACTAGAATAGATTAAAAATAGCTCATCATATCTGCAAAAATTGTTATTTAAAAAAGAAGATAGAACATTGCTAAAATTTTTATGAGGTTATTTTAAAATGATTCTTCAAAAATCAAAGAGTGATCTACACTAAAGTACTTCTTAATAATACTAAAGAAAAACATGAAATAAGAATGACTCAGTTAAGTATTTCATTATCTTAGGCTCTCAATATAACAATGTATTACATAATATAGTGCAGTATCAGTGACTTGGAAACTTCCTACATGCCACCTGCAAATACCACAATCCAGTTTCTTAAGGAGATTATCTACCATCTTAAATTTTTGTTAATCACTGCCTAATTTTTCTGTATCATTGTTACAACTCATGTTTGAATGCTAAACATGTACTTTCAAGTATTTCTGCACAGCATATAAATGAAATCATATATTTTTCAGTTCAACATTCTATATATATATATATATATACACACACTATATATGGGTATTTACATATTCGACTTATTATTAGTTTTTTGAGTCATCTGCTGATCCATGCATCTGTGATGCATTCATTTTTACTGCCATAAAATATTTTAGTTTATCACTATCCTAATGCATTTATCTTTTCTAGAGTTTTGTTATGAACAAGGATAATCAATGCATTTTTTTTTGTTTTCTAAGACAGAGTCTTATTCTGTCTCCAAGGCTAGAGTGCAATCGCATCAGCCTAGCTCAGAGCAACCTCTAACTCCTTGGCTCAAGTGGTCCTCCTGTTGTGGGCTCCCAAGTAGCTGGGACTACAAGCGCTCACCACCATGCCTGGATAATTTTTCTCTTTTTTTTTGCAGAATCTGGGTCTTGCTCAGGCTGGTCTCAAACTCCTGACCTCAAGAGATACTCCCACCTCAGCTTCCCAGAGGGCTAGGATTATAGGTGTTAGCTACTGTGCCAGGCCTGTATAAGCATCTTTTGGTGACCATGTGCAATATATCACCTACATATGCCCTTAGAAATGGAATTATCAGCTGTTACAAAGAATTCACATTATATTCTACTAGATGACATAGAACTATTTTCCTAAAATTGTTGTACCACCTAACTCACAATAGGTATATATGATAATATCCACCATTTTGAAAATATTCTTTGTAATATTTAGTGTGTCAGAGTAAATTTTTGTGAAGTGGTGGATATGACATGGTATCTCAATGTAATTTTTAGTGGCCACTTCATTTATGTCTACAAACATCTTTCATGTATTTGTGAAGCATTTGGGTCAAATACCTTCTCATGTCATTATTTTTTCTGTTTTTTATTTCCTTCTTCTTAATTTGTAAAAACTACTTAGGTATTCTGGAAAATGATTCTGTTCAAGTTTTTTCTATGTTAGCTATTTTCTCAGAATTGGATCCTTTATTAATGTTAATATTAATTTTATTATTTTTGGATAAACAGAAGATTTTTAAACAGTAATTCATTTGATATATCAATGTATTCTTTCTGAGTACACCTATGTGAGTAGAATTTATGACTAGAAGTCAAAAATTTATTCTTCAATAATTTTTGCTAATATACTCTAACATTTGCCTTTCAAATGTTATGATCATAATACAATTGAAACTGAGTTTTATAGATGGAAATTGGTAAGGTCCATCTTATGTTTTTTATATAAAAAATTACATTTCCCAGCATAATCTATACAACAGTCTCATCTATTTTTGTTTGATATGTAATGTCACCCATGAGGTTAACAAATATTCGTAGATCTTTTCTAAACTCTCTCTTCAATGAGACCATTACCTATGTATCTTTAAGACCAATTAAAATTTTGTAAATACATTATCTTAAATCCTTCCCGTCTCCTTTATGTGCTTAAACATATTTTTCTACCCATCTCACTGATGCACTTAAATATATATTTCATTTTCTCAAGTTTTTTTTTAATAACTTTTAATTAGAAGAGTTTATCAGATTGCTTAGTTAGAACTATTGGCAGAAAAGGGTGCAACATAATTTTTCCACTTTCCATTTGTATCTCATATTTAAATCTAAAAAGAAATTCACCAATTGCTTGCAATTTATCAATATCAGGTACTCTTTAATTTTTTTAATTAAAAAAAAATCATTGTTTGTGTTTCATGTTATTAAAGCCGCAAATAACTAAATATTGGGATGTATACTGTATTTCATTAATATATTATTATATATTTATTATATATTAACTAAGTATTTCTATATAAAAATCCATCCATATTCTCATTCTAAAGAGGAAAGAACTAAAAGTCAGGGACTAACTAATGTTCTTAGATACATCTCATTTCACAAGTAAATAGAGAGATCTAACTTAGGTCTGAATAAGAATGCAAATAGATGGGCCTCCCACAGATGACCATGCCTCCATGACGCAGAGCAAAGGCACAATCTATTCCCTGAATTTTCTGTGGCAATTTCTCTTTCCTAGAATTGAGTAGTAGTCTTTCTAGAAGTCTGAGTCATCCATTAAAATTATAAATGTTGATAATTACCCATTCCAAGGTAGTAAACACAAATATTCAAAAATCTGTTACGGTAAAGATAAAAGTTTGTAACATTATACTAGCAATATTTAAAAATTAGTATGAATGGAAATACTTTAAAGTTTACAACAGCACTGATAGTGTCAACATTACCTATACTGCCACAAATACTAGCTTAATGTTTTTAAATAACTTAAAATATGGTATTTTTGTATCAGTTTTCAATAATAATCATATGAGTGATCCAAAAAGGGCATACGATATACTGGTTCACACCTATGTATCTCCTCTTTTTCATATTTCTATTCGTACTTTATAATAAATTGTTTTTATTCATTTACTCTTTAAAAATTTCAAAAGTACCATATTCAGTTGTTTTAGAAATGAGTAATTCACACGACTCCCTGCTGTATAACTAAAGAAATGAATTCATTCCAAAATTCTGTCACCATGTGGAGAACTCATGCCAGAAATCAAAGGGTAATTAGCTAAATTTAACAAAAATTATAAATGAGTAATTTGTTTGGCCTATTTTAAAATGAAACTAAACTGGATAGCACTTGCTGAGAGTTTGCTTTGATTAATAGAATGAGCTGAGAAGCTGCCAATATACATAATAAAATATTTAAAATCGATTTTGAGGCTGGGTGCAGGTAGCACAGTGATTACGGATGGCAGGTTCGCACCCAGCCCAGGCTAACTAAACAATAATGACAACTGCAGGAAAAAACAGCCAGGCATTGTGGTGGACACCTGTAATCCCAGCTACTTGGGAGGCTGAGGCAAGAGAATCGCTTAAGCCCAAGAGTTTGAGGTTGCTGTGAGCTGTGATGCTATAGCACTCTACTGAGGGTGACATAGTAAGTAAGACTCTGTCTCAAAAAAAAAAAAAATCAATTTTGATTTAGTCATTTCTTTTTTAGTGGCTACCACACTTTGAAGTAAGGTTTAATTACCATGATATCGAAAGATCATACTGTATACTTATGTGATGATCATCCTTATCTCCATAACTAATTTATAACAAAGAGCTAAAACACTAAAAGTTTTCATGAGAATATTTATTATCTTTGTACTCTATGAGCTGTGTTACATTCAGCCCGACCCTAGCTGGTAGAAACCCCGAGAAATACTGGATTACTAAAGTTGATTGGTGTAACTACATCATCCTGTACCCACTGTATTACGTGGTATCCTACCATTTGATTCTAGAAGGAAAAAAATCATGTTTTCTCAAGAAGGATTTCAACTCATTCTCAAAGTCACTTAATATCAGTATTTAATATCAGTATTCTTTCAGAAGGTCTGCCATTGGAACAGATACTTATGTTGCTAGGCAGTGTTACGGGCTGTCAGACTGCAAGCCGAAAGGGGCTGCAGATTTCAAAATTCACATTACACTTTGTAATTACCTTCTAAGAAACACAGCCCAATAGTTGTTTGGGGATGTATTTATTTCTACTAAGGCCATGCTTTGGGGTTATAGACAAAATAATAGGTAAGGAAAAAGGGTATTTGGTCAAAGACGAGTAAGTTGTATTAATGGACAATATTACATAACATTCATTTGTGCCATAGAGGGATGTGTGCGTGTAAACGGGGATCCAAATTTGTGTTGCTGAGAGACAAAAGGAAAAGCCTTTCACACTCTATGTTCAATCTGAGGATAATCAGTGTGAAAAATTCCCTTAAATTCCTTCCATGAGAAAACAGAAGTGTCTCTAATTGTTGTTCTGGGACTTTGGATTGCTGAAGAGTGAATCTGCCAAAGACATAGGTCTTGATGTTTAGCACATATTTTCCTCAAGGATAAGTGGGGAATAACCAAAGGAGATACAGGAAGACACTGGAAAATAATAGAGCTGCAAGAGGCAGGTCTACAGAGACTGTTTTCTGATGAAAATGGTACCACAGTGAGGAAAGGTCAGTACAGGAAATCTCCTGGGGTCTCCTGCGGGCAATGTTTTGAAAGTAACTACTCATTTGTATTTTGGGATCACCCTTCATTAAAAAGTTGTTTCCAAGTCACAGAAGTCTAACAGAGCAAAGCAAACTGACATCACTGATATCATCTCCTGATTCTTCAGCTCTCTCTCCTGGTGCTTCACTCAGGCTTTTGCAGAGGTTTAGATTAATGTGAGCTATTGACATCTCAATCCCAAGTACCACGTCAGGGGTTAATATTCCAGCACCATAAGTGTTTGGTTTTTTGTTTTGTGTTTTGTGTTAATTTTTATTGTGACAGTGAAATGGTTAAAAATTTTTCTATTTTAGTATTTAGTAACTACTTGGACATGTTTAAGAAATTATGCTCTATTACTTAAGATATTTTCAGCTTCTTGTAACAGGCTGCCTACAGATTACATATATTATATAAATTTATACACAGCATGAAAGATGAGTAGATGTTTCAAGTAAAGAATTCAAGAAGCTTACTCTTTTTCCAGGAGGACCTGGTGGGCCAGCCTCACCAGATGGACCAGGAGGACCCTATAAAATGTGAAAAACATCTTTTAAGGAACGGGGTATTATTTCATGGCCCACATAGTTATTCAAGATCTAGACGGAAACCAACTTTCTTCATTTCCACACATCTGTCTTTCCTGGAAAATCTCAGCCCTATGACGGATCTCTAAACTTCCTCTACATATTTATCATTTCTATAATTAGAAATGATAAATTTATATGGTAAATTGCTTCATAACTGGGAGGAAATCAATCAAATGCCCTCTATGAAAAACTGTCCTTTTAAAAAGTGCTAATTTATATCTTGTAAGCATCCAACAGGCATGCTAATTAATATCATATGGTTAATGATTCTACTCACAGTGCATACATTTTTGAAAACACTGTATTCACTGTATTCAGTTACCTTTAAATTTCCTCTCATTCAATGGTAGTGTTTTTATGCCTAGGTGTTTATAACTTGCTGGGATACAATCCAAAATCTTATCTACACAGAACAAACTTATATCTCTAACAGCAAGTAGCCATTGGGAATGGCCCCAGAGGCAAAATTATGTTGGGAGCCAATTATCTTGGTTCTTTCTTAATTTAGTGGCCTTCCTTACTTCTTCCCTAAATACAACCCCATGTGGCCAAAACACATTCTTGGTCATTTCCAAATGTTAACCAAGTAAGCCTAGACTATGCCAAGTTCATTAAGTTTGAAAGTATAATTCATGCTAAAGATCGGCAATAACTTGGCTGTAATCCTGGTGGAATTACTTGATTTTAAAGCAATTTTTTGTTAATGAATACAAATGGACAGATAACTAAATTTGATGTAGTATGATAAATCATTAGTGTGATAGGACTACATTTTTTATCATTCCTTATACCTTAATTTATATCATGAGAGCAAATACTGGAGGTAACAGTGATAACTGGAATTCAAATATTTTTCGTAAGTTTTTCAGAAAAAGGTATACACACACACCAGGCCCTTAGAAAGGCTGGAAATTTCTAATGACTTCTCTAAAATGCTTTCAGACTATGTGTAGGTTTGAAAAATAGGTTTACTTACTGGTTGACCAGTATCTCCATCTTCACCCTTGTCACCACTGACACCATCTTGACCCTATTATAGGTAACAGAAAATGAAACCAGCTATATCTCACTGTGAATTATTTGGATCACAGAAGAAAGGTATGTGAACTATTTTTTGAGTAAATTAATATAAGATAGAAAAACGGACTTTTTTTTAATTATTTTTTTTAAGATTTCGAAACTTCTTAATCTATCCATAAACAAAATTTGTGAAATTGCTACCAAGTCAGGTTAGTAGAAAAATGTCTGAGGGCAATACCTCCTTTTACCATTTACGAATTTGGTACAGTTTGAAATAGGGGTTGCCTTATAGAAAAGACTGAAATAACTCTGAATGATAACAATGCTGCTATTTAACTAATCTGTTTATGTGAGCCAACAGAGTCCAGAAAACTACGTCTACCGAAGAACATAATCTGGGAACGTGGGCCTGCTGGTCTCCAGCTGTGTCAATTTTCTTGTAGTTGTGATTACTCTGCATGTTTCTTTTTTTTTTTTCCTTTCTGGTTTTGGGAATCCATTCATATAATTAAAAATTTTCTCTATTAACAACAGAGACATTGGGAATATTCATAACAAAATAATTTGTTTAGTTTTCCATGGTACTTACTGAAGGGCCAGGTTCCCCAGGAGGGCCAGGATCTCCAGGAAAACCAACAGGACCCTAGAACGATGTTTTTAAAGAAAAAGAAATAAATTTTTATAAAGCTATGATACTCTGAAGTTTAAGAGGTAAAAATCATTGGCAAAACCTGGTTGAGAGCATTTCTTTTCTCCTGACAGAAAATTTACAAAACGTGGTATCAACTGGGCAGCGCCTGTGGCTCAAAGGAGTAGAGCGCTGGCCCCATATATGTCACTTTAAAGGAAACCGAACTAACTCACCGGGTTACCCTTAGGGCCATCGTCACCTGGTGGTCCCTTAGCACCAGGAGGTCCAGCAGCTCCAGGTGGGCCAGCTTCACCTTTTTCTCCTCTTTCTCCTTTGGGACCCTACACAACATCAGAAAAACAGCAGTTATTTTTCAAGTTTGAATCAGAGTGTCTTAAGATTGGCATATGGGGCCAGAAAAATTCTTTGCTGTGGGAGGCAGCCCTGTACATGGCGGGGTCCCTAAGAGTATCTACTTCTGGTCTTTACTAATGAGATGCCAGCAGCTACCGCCCCTCCAAGTTTCACAGACAGAGATGTCACCAGACACTGGCAAATGTTTCCTGGGGTCAAATTCACACCCAGTTTAAACTAAGCTATGCTAGAATCATATAGTCTTGATACAATCTGTACATGTTTCTTAGGGGCATAGTGTGTGTTTCTTGTTGTTTTTCCTTTTATGGATGCCACCAAAGGGAATGTATGCAATAAACTGCTGAGAGAGTTAATGTTCTTGTTTATACAAATACCATCTTTATCCAACTTGTATATATGTAAATGTGCAGAGAATATATGAAGTTATTAAATAAGAAGGCTCTGCATTCAGGATTATTCACTCTGGGTTGGAAAGGAAGAGCAAAACCCTGAAGCTAGGAGTTAAGTTACATGTTTTAAAATGTTCTAAAAGAAATCCCTAAACTGATAACACTATAGACCGACAGTGAGCCAGCACTTACTCCCGGGCCGGCTTCCCCAGGAGGCCCTGGGTTCCCTGCTTCTCCAGGTTCACCCTGTAAAGAAAAGATCAAGTGTGAGATGGTGTCTTACATTTGCCAAACTGCTTTCCATACGCCATTATAGATTAGCCCGTCAATTGTTTATAAAGCATGGAAAACTTTAACGAAAGGAAGGCATTTTTTATATTCCTGACAGAATTGAATGGGCTCAATGCTAAATTCTTAATCGTCACTTAATGGCCAGCATATCACCCAGGTTATCACCAAGCTATCATGACAGACTGCTGAATGTGTTTCTGCACAAATTATGCATTTTTATCATACAAATATTTATATTATAGGCAAGTTTACTGATTACATACTTTCCAGTTGTTTTTTCCTGAAGTATGAATTCACTTCACTTTACAAGTGAACAGTTTGGTGGTATATATGTTGATATTCCCAGAGAATGTGCATCATGAAGATGGAAATAACATAGAGGAAAGATTATATTATGAGACATGTGGAGGGGCTTAAACAATAACTAAAACTCAAAACCATTTGAGTACATTCATGTTATAAATTTGATAGTCATTATTATCTTCTTGGTTAGATAGGGATGGCTATTTTCTAGCTCAGAAAACTTAATAAATAAATCTCTTAGTCTAGGAGGTGGTAGCTGTGAAAGATTCTTGCTAATTAATCATACTTCAAAAGGTACAAAAATATAACATCTTATTCAAGTAATCATCTAAGCAAAGTGATACAGTACACTTATGTATGCTATCTCCTCCATACTGACAACTTTGAAATCACTGGTCTTAGGGATTCCAAGGTAGAAATTGTTCTTGTAAATTGAAAGAAAACTGTGAAGTGTAAGTTCCCTTTAATTTTTAACCTTTATATTTCCAATATTCCTGACACAAACACAGTGCTTCTAAGTTAGTTTGAAATGTGTTGAATTAAATATAAACATAATTCTGGGGCACAGACTATTATGGTATGTAGTTTCTCAGTCTTTAATAACTCATTTTCATAATGGTGAAAGACATCAGAAACTTTCCATGAATTCATTAAGAGTAGAATTGCGTGTACATCATTTCCTTCTGTAAGATCAACAAAAAATATTTCCAGTACTTTTGAATAAGCCTTAGAAATAAAATACTGCATTCACATTGTTTATAAAGAGAGGAATCATTCAGCCATCTCAGTCTGAGAGAATGATAGATTAGTGGTAATTTTATGAGCTATTATATTTTTAAAGTGAAACAACTAGGGTCAAATCAACTATAAAATATCCATATTAAATACTTCATATAAAATTAAATACAATGTTTATGTAGAAATATCAGAAATCTATTGAGCATGCCCCAATTTTTCTCTTATATGTCATATTAACGCACGGTAGTCTTACCGAAAGTTAGAAGTACAGGAGAAACAGCCACAATATTTTCAGTTACTCTGTGTTTTATTTTTCCCTTTTCATTCTTATCAACTACACAGTTAAACTTTTGGAGATTCTGCCCAAAGTTATAAAATATGTATTAAATCGTGATATATTTCCTTATGTTGAGAAAATTACTGAAGTGAAAAAGCCAATGAGAGCAAATGGACATTACATAAACAACAGGAGAAATGTATTTAAACAAAGTGCATCTCCACTAAAGGATAATGGCTTTTATTTTGTTGTTCATTGTTAGAAAGTGGGAATAAATTTTCCAAAATAGCAATTAGGATGAATTCAGCCAGACTCAAAGCTGATGTCAGAAATCTGTAAGCTATAACAAATTCTAACAGCCCAAATTCTAAAGAAAAAATAAAGATTAAAGTTTTATTTTTATCCTGTGCTTTCTCATAGAAATGTTTTTTTTTAGAAAGAGCAAAATTAAAACTCTTATGTTTTTTACAAGATATTTTTTATCAAAATGAAAACTCTTGTGTTTTTTATCTTGATTTTGAAGTAAGAACGTTTTAAATGAACGCATCAAATAACCACTCTTACTGGGTCATTTTTGTAAGAGTCAAAGTTAGCAGTGTTCCCAGACAGACTTTGAACAACATGGAAGCTACGTGGAAGGGAGCTCCCCAGAACCCCAGACATCTGACTTCTACATCTATTTTCAAGAGTCACACAAGAGATTAAAAGCATAAAAGAAGCAACTGAAATACCTAAAGCCATTCCTCTGCATCTGAAAGACCTGTATTTAGGTAGTAGGTAAGATAAGCTGATGAGGAGAGTCAACCTAGAGACTTCCTCAATTCAGTCAGTATTGGAGCCAGCAGAGCTGATGCAAAGACACCAGGAAAGCCTGCGAGGCAGATACACCGTCTCACACAGTAACATCCTCCTCGGGGATTCATGCTTTCTTATACTATTGTTCCTAGGACAATTGCACTAAATAAATTTTTTCTTAATTCCACCTCCAACTGCCCAAATAACTTCAACACAGTAGTTACAATTTAAGAATATAAAAAATAGCTTTCATACAAAAGCTATAAATTGGTTTCATAGTAGGGCTGAGTACATTGGATACTTTTCTTCCATTCTTGAGACACTTTGCTAAGAAGACTATGTTCCAGCTCCATCCATGTAAACATGTGAGAGGTAAAGTCTCCATCTTTCTTTCAATTATATCCCAAGAAGAAAGGGAGGGGATGGGGAAGGATGAGTGAAGGGAGGGTAATTGGTGGGACCACATCTATGGTGCATCTTACAAGGGTACATGTGAAATTTACTAGATGTAGAATATAAATGTCTTAACACAATAGCTAAGAAAATGCCGTGAAGACTATGTTAACAAGTTTGATGAAAATATTTCAAATTGTATATAAAACCAGAACATTGTACCCCATGATTGCATTAATGTACAGAGCTATGATTTAATAAAAATTTTTTTTAAAAAAAAGAATGTAAAAAATAAAAGATAGTCAATCCAGAAAACTAGACTTGTGTATGCAGTAAGAATTAGATAACAACTTGATAAGTTTTTTAAGGAATTAGTAAACTATTCTGAAGAGCTAATCATACAGAATTTATTATAATCAAAATACTAGCAGGTAAGTGTTCAGCAGAATTAAACACCAAATAAAATATTCTAATATATATATTTTTATTTTTTATAGAGAGTCTTGCTCTGTCACTCAGGTTGGAGTGCAGTGGCATGATCGTAGCTCACTGTAGCCCTGAACTCCTGAGATCAAGCAATCCTACACAACTCAACCTTCTGAGCACCCAGGAATACAGGCCTGGCGAATTTTAAAATTCTTTTTGTAGACATAGGCTGTGGCCATGTTGCCCAGGCTATTCTTGAAATCCTGCCCTGAAGTTATACTTCCATCTTGGACTCCTGGAGTGCCATGATTACAGAATGAGCCACAGCACCCAGCATCATGTTCTAATCTTATCACAGTTCTTTCTTCTGGTGTTAAATGCTTTAATTAAAATAAATAAATTTAAGTACAAGATAAATTATATCAGAAAGACTTGAATTAAAGACCAGAGTCATTTTTTATTTTTACTTTTTTTTTCTTTTCATTTTTTAGATTAGGAAAAATCTATACCACTGAAATTCTCTCATAACTAGAAAATTAGGGAAATTTTTACATGTTTTCATTGCATAATGCATTATGGTATAAAATTGAATTCTTTTCCCCAAACTTATAAAATAATTTATTTTTTAAATCAAGAAAATATCAATGATGATTTTCTTGAAAATTTTATTAAGAAGCGAGCATGAATACCTAAATAAGAAACCAATGAATCATTTTGACATGTTCACAAAAGGAAGAGATTTTCAAAACGAAACCATGCTCACAGAAAGGGAAAGCTACTCTAAGCCCAGTGTTATGGCACATGCCAACTGTTTTAAAAAGTACCAAAGATAGGTCAGCATCTTACCAATGAGATATAACAAAATGAATGATTGGTTCTCTTGCATTTTGAAGAATTCCTTTTTCCCTATAAATCAGTTACATGAACCAATCGCTTCTATTTTTGCTATTGAGTATTATTAAAAAATTCACCAATTGAAGTGAATCCTGATTTACTTAAAATGAAAAACCTTGATGAAATTACTGAAAACCTCCAAGCCTCAGCTTTCTCAGCTAAGTACTGTGGATAATATCAGCAGCATGACATTCTGGCTGTGACTAAAAGAAATAATCAATGAACACCATTCAGAAAACTTCCTGGCAGTCGACGACATAACATTTAAAAATGATTTTAACTGGAGGAGATACAAATCACATAACTACACGTAAAGTGCTTAGAAGCACACCAATGTTATCAGCATTAGTTAAAATATAATCAGCATAATGTTAAAATATTACATACTCAAAATTATTTTAAGCCTTACTTATTGTCTTTCGAAATGCCATTTCAAGGCTGGGCACGGTGGCTCACACCTATAATCCCAGCACTCTAGGAGGCCAAGGTGGGCAGATCGTCATCATAGCTCACAAATTCAAGATCAGCCTGAGCCAGAGTGAGACCCTTGTCTCTAAAAAAGCCAGGCGTTGTGGCGGGCGCCTGTAGTCCCAGCTACTTGGGAGGCTGGAGGCTGAGGCAAGAGAATTGCTCAAGTCCTAGAGTCTGAGGTTACCGGGAGCTATGACGTCACAGCACTCTCCTGGGGGAAACAAAGTGAGACTTTGCCTCAAAAAAGTTATTTCAAATTCATATGACCAAGATTTTTACCTTTTCTCCAACACCACCAACTGAACCAACAGATCCTGTGGGTCCTTGTGGTCCCTGAAGTGCAGAAAAGGAATACAATTATCCATAGTCTTGTAAGAAATAATATGTAAGTTCATGAACTCATACTTGTTCTGAAATAGAGAAATACATGCCAGAAGTATTCTTTAGAATTTGAAAGAAGGGACAAAATGATGCTTTTTATGAGTCATCAATTTTACTAGATAGAAAATAATTGAATATATTACATTGATTTTCAAATTCACGAGAATTTCAGGGATAAAGCAGGGCTTTGTCAGCTGTATTATAGCAACTGATACTCAGGATATAGTTTCAGTCTCTATTCTCCCAAACAGGTCCGTTTTAGAGGATGAGTTTATAGTGGATCAAAATTGGGACTCTGGTTAAGAATTACATAATCCACAGAAAAAACAGACCTCTTAGAAACCATTGTTTAGTCTATAAATCAGTTAAGGGGAACTGAAATCTAAAAGTTCTTTTAATTTGTCTTCCCCCTTGTCTATTTTACTAAGTTCTGGCCTGCCGAAATTAACAACAGGTAGGAAAGGGCAAAATAGATCAGTCAGGAGAATGAGGAAAGCAAGGACATCTTCATTCTGAACAGGGGAAGTCAGAAGAAGCGATTAGCATCAAAGGTTGTATATCCACCAATGGTATTAAAGGATACGGCATCACATATCAAAATCTTTCCATATTAGAACAATTTTTAAGCTTAGGGAATTATCTTCTTTATACAATTGAGAAAAAAAACATTTTACATGATAAGAGGTGCACTTGGGCACATATGGCCGTAACATACTTTATAAACTGAAATGCAGAGCTTTTAGATAAAAGCCTCTGATTGGTAACAAATATATATACAAAGGATATTTGGAGTACAGACCTAGATTAGTGCAAGCAAAGTCATTTAAAAACTGTCTCCTCATGTCATTGTCAGAGATAAAGGTTAAATTTAAAAGAATTTAGCAACTCTTTATTGAACAGCGATCATACACAAGGCATACACAAGTCATACACAAGTCTAAGGATGTTAGTTTGAACACTGTGGCTTATAATAATACAAATACCACCACTGACATGTCTCACTCCTCAGTAAATCCAGACGGAATGTGAACAGTGCACCTATTTTATAATGGTGGTGACTTGTTCCTTGTAAAACCTGTTTCTATTCCTGCATAATAAAATGGACTGAGCAGATGACGTCCCATCCACATCTAACATGAAAAACAGTGTGATTATCTACATTGTATCTCAGAAAGCATCTTCCGTGAAATAATACCAATATCTATCTAGCTTCAAAATAATTAACATGTTTCACAGCTCTTACATCAGCTCCATTGGGACCTTGAGGACCTCTTGGGCCTGGAGGACCAGGGGGGCCCTGTAAAAGATGAATATGAAGGTTGATGAGGAGGAAATTAAGGTGCGTTGGTAACATTTTCATTTTGTGATTAAGAAAATTAAAGAAATCAGAGTCAGTAAACTATGTCAATGTCACAGGTCCCTCGTGAGGGTGTAACAGTGTGTCACTCAAAGGGCCCTTTACACACAACTACGGAAGAAATTAGGACTTGAGGGAAATAGTTTGATTAGAAAATGGGCAAGAATATAGATTGCTACAATCTGGTACAATTTATTCATAATGCAACTACAACTATTTTAGCTAGATTAAAAAGGCAACACAAAGTTTAAACAGGAAATGGTGCTTGAGTAGATTAGAATTCATTAACTCAAGGAAAGTGTTTTTATCTTTGTTAGTATGTAGTTTTGCTTTTCTGTGTATGAACTCTTATGGTCTACATGGCAGGATTGGAAATAATAGCAACTAAAATCAATTTGGGGTACATTTTATAAACTTCTGATGACTAGAATTCTCTACCTACCTGTTTGTGATTAAAACAGTCTATAGTGAATGCCATTTTCTTTTTAAGTCTCAGTTTATTCTTAAGCCGCAGTTGAAAAGATTTGCTACGGTTACCCATGACCATATGACCAGGGGGAATGCATCAATGATTCCGAGAGCCACAATGACCATATTTAGAATGGAGCTTGCTGTGTAGTTGATACTGCTTGGAAGTATTAATCAGTTATTTGAATTACCAGTGTTTATTAGGCATTTCTTATATTTTGTTTTATTAATAATCACTTCAAAGAATATTATTGAACTAGGCAATCATCCCTAAAGAAAATAAAATCTAACATGAGTTAAAATTCAAAATATATATTCTGAAAGAAGTAAAATTTTGGGAAATAAAAGGGAAGGAGAAATTCAGACATTCATCTATCATATTTCATTATAAAAACTGTAATTACCTTGACTAAGTATTTCCTTACTTAAGGTAGCGGTCCATAAAGAATTACAGGTATTGGAAATTTTCAGTTGAGGTTTTAAAGTAGAAAGCCAGACTCAATAAATGCAAATCATTATAACTCATAGCATTCTAATTACAATTAATTCTTTGTTAAATTATGAATTTGTGTCAAAGTACAACTCATCTTGAGTTCTGTATTGACCAATTACACAAGTCCCATGGGACTATTATCTCTTCTTTTCCTGCTCCAGATTAAAATCCAGAGGCAAAGACTAAGAAATAAGTGAAATGTGGCAGTTGATCATATACACCTCAATACTCAATAATATGTACTTAGAAATAATATGAAACAACTTGCAAACCCATGAATGCCATATATGTAAATAACATTACTCCAATGTGAGAAAGAGAAAGATATTCAGAGTAATATTAATATTCAGTGGTCGCACATGGAGGTTGTATGGGAGAAAGGGGAGAGGTCGACGTAGAAGAGGCATTGGAATACAGCGGCACAACATCCTTCAAACTTACCATGGGGCCAACATCCCCATTTTCACCTTTTTCTCCAGGGGGGCCTGGAAGACCCTAAAAACATTAAAAAAGAAAAATAAAAAAAATCACTCGTGTATTTTGAAAAGTGGTTGATAAGTTTCCAATATAAAATGAAAATTAAACATAAAGTCAAGTACACGAAAATTAAAATTCAAAAACTAATCTTTGTTAAAATACATATAATGCACAGGTTGAGCACATGATACAATCTTAAACATGTATTTACAAATAAAATTTGTGCTTTACATGATACTTTTGTTTTTGTAGTAACTAAATACATAATTTGATCTGGGACTTTAGGAAGACCTAACTATTTGTTCTCCTGTTATGGTTCAGAGCTCTGAAAAATCTGGGTTCAAATTATTTTAAAATACTCTATTCAGGTGAGGGTTTTATAGTTAGGATCCATCCCATTTGGTGAAACTCTTTAGAAAATAAATATTCCAATACGATTCCAGGATTATAAATATCTTCTGAATTTTTGACCTGCTAATTCCATTTCTGGATCTTAAAATTCCACAAAGCCATGAACTCTGTTATATCATACTTCTTTTTTTTTTGCAGTTTTTGGATGGGGCTGGGTTTGATCCCGCCACCTCCGGCATATGGAGCCAGCACCCTACTCCTTTGAGCCACAGGTACTGCCAATACATCATACTTCTTTTATTCTCTCAAATCCATGTTGATTATCTTCAACTGCACTGCAGCTGCTATTAAGGAGAGGCCCTGTGAATAGTATAAACCCAGACAGAGAGGAAGCACTCAAATTTCACCTTGCCATGTCTATGAGAAAATTATTTTACTTCCTCATGATTCATTATTTGATCTTTCTAATTGTCCCATGAAAAATTGTTTAGATTTCCCTTGCATGTCACAACAAGGCTTAGTACATAAAATATGTCTATGTCACTTATTTTATGCTTATGTGCATAAAATATGCTCATGTCACTTCTTCACATATTTATAATCCTGAGCTACTTGGGGGCAGTCATCTTTTAAGTGTCAATTTTTACTTCTAGTAACTAGCAGAGGGTCACACACAAAGTAGACTGTCAGTGAAATACTTGTTGAATGAATAATAAATGAAAGAGTCTTAAGAAATCAACCAACAGAAATAGCTACAATTGCTAAAATGTTTTTTGCACTACTACCTATAATAGGGAAAAGTTTCAATTATTACAAATGTCTAATCTTAGAAAAAAGAGCTAAGCAAATTTTGTTATACTAACTAATGAAATATTACAGGTCTCCACTGTGATACTTATTATCTAAACAACACTATCATGTGTGTCAAGTAATAAAAAGCAGACACAAATGCATTTTATCAATTTAACAGCAAGACAAGTATACAAAGTAGGCATGATAATCATTGGAAGTAATAGTAAACTTGCTAATCATTTTTAATAGTACAGAAGTATAGATTATTTACATTTCTATGTTTTTAGAGTTGTAATTATTTATATACATTTTGCAGTTCCTATACAATTCATTTTTAATGTACAACAGTATTTCAGATGCGATCTATTTTTTTTTTTTTTTTGAGACAGAGCCTTAAGCTGTCCCCCTGGGTAGAGTGTCGTGGCATAGTTCACAGCAACCTCCAACTCCTGGGCTCAAGTGAGTCTCCTGCCTCCGCCTCCCAAGTAGCTGGGGCCACAGGCGCCGGCCACAATGCCCAGCTATTTTTGGTTGCAACTGTCATTGTTGTTTGGCAGGCCGGGCTGGATTCAAACCCGCCACCTTAGGTGTATGCGGCTGGTGCCTTAGCCCCTTGAGCCATAGGCGCCGAGCTTCAGATGCAATCTATTTAGAATAAAATACAAGCAATGACAAAGCTCTAGATAACTGCCAGTACTTAAATGATATTATTGACTACTTGATACTGGATGCAGTTGCTGAAAATTATTTGACCATGACCACTATAAAAAAATACATTTACTTAATCCTCCAAACCATATGCATGCAAAATAAGTGAAACTTGAGTTTCAAAAAGCAATACCTACCTACCCTTTTGCCTAAATGCAAGTCATTGGTATTTTTATTCTCCACCTTTGTACTTTACTCTGCTCCATTTCATTTTTTAAATGTAGGTAATAAACCCCCTAAACTGTATGACCCAGTAAATCCACTTAACTCCCAGTAGAGAAAGAGAACACTTTGCTGAGCACAATTACAAACTTTTAAAATGTGTCATACTCTTCTTTATGAGAAAATATTAATTACTAACTTATAAAGGACAATAAATTGTGTTTCCTCTTTTTCTCAATTGACAGTTTCTTTTCTTTTCTTAGGAAAGAAAAAACTTCTCTCAGAAAAGAAACTGCTATCCTCTTATGCACTTCCCAAACTGTTAACATCATCTGATGGTAGTTAATAGAATTAAAAACGAAGTCCCTAGGATGTCAGGCGTGAGCCCCTGCACCGGCCCTCACAGTTTTCTTTTTATTACAAGCATAATCTTCACTGTCATCTTTCTTTACACATATAATTAGTTCCATAGGAATCTAACAATAGAACAAATGAAAATACTTATTTCCTCTTAATTAAGTTTGATGATAGATTCGGTTGGCTAAGACAGAATGTTCATACTATTAAAATTAATAGAGATGTAACAAGTCAAATTCTCTTTTTGCAGGAAACTAAACATGCTGATTGGCAGTCCAGTGTTAATCAGTTTTCATAAGTCCTAACTTTCTCCAAGGGAGAAATTTATGCACGGACAGATTCTGGTTTGAGGTCTCTCCATTTAAAATAATGTCACTTAAATGATGCATCAAAAATGAGTTTAGGCCAAGAAACTTCATTATGCATCTTATATACATATAATATATATATATATACACATAAATGCACACACACACACACACATAGATATCTACTTCACGTGTGGATGAATAGCATGTAGCAAGCTGAAAAATCAACTCATTTAACCTTAATATTAGATTATTATTATTTATATCTACTGTAATTGCTAATATCTATTCTGTAGTGAAGACTCAATTAAAGCATGCAGATGCGATTGTGAACGCGTTAATTACATTAGCATCTTTTCGGTTTCCTGATTTAAAGAGGTAGCTGTGGGAAAATGTAATCAATTTTTTTTAATGAACTGATTTCTTGAGGAACCCTCATCAAAGAGCACATGTCTCACTTTGTGGAAATGAAGATAATTTTTTTTATTGAATATTTTATAAATATAAGCTACAAGGTACCTTCTTTAATCAAGAGAACCAAGTTTCTAAATTACAGCCTTATAGGATTTGCAGTGATCGGTTAAATGGAAAAACAGAAAATGAATACGAATGTATCCATTGGCAATCCAATTTGAATGTCCTGTCGCTGTTCTCAAATACGTGTGCTTCTCACGCGCACTGGGACGTGACACTGACGACTGCTTAGTTATCATTGCCTATAGCCAACTTAAACACAACAAATCTGACAGGGCAGTTTTTACTTTCCAAGTTTAAAAGAAATTATTTGGGCCTTAAAAGCAAAAATCAAATAAAAGCAGACAATTAGAATATTATGTTCACTGATTAAATATCCATTGAGTATTTTAATTACATTATTCATTATATGGTGTTTATATACCATTACATACCTAATAACCTACTAAAAATACAAGACACAACACTTTTGTGATTTTATTTATGAAAATAAAGATAAATATTAAGCTTATCTAAGTTCCACTTTCATATATTTTTTTACAAGTTCACAGATTTGGGGGTTTAGTGAACTAGATGACTTAGTCTATCTTTTCAAAAGCTGCTAGCTAATTCAGCTTAAGTTACACCCATAGGGTACCTAAATATTATTTGAACGAAATTTTATAATCTTTTCAAAGAAGAAAGCTAGATGTCTCCAAAGTTAATAGGAAGTAGCAAACATCAAACAGAAGGTAGAAAACAACCCAGAATAGATGTCTGTTCCATAATATTTTGCTTTAAGTCTTGTTATAAGACACATATGAGCAAAAGATTTTCACCTATAATGTTTTATAATTTAATATTTTATTTCCTGAATATGGTTAATAAAATGACCATTGTAATTTATAATAACAAGCTATTTTAAATGATCAATTTACAGCTAATTTGCTTATTTTATAAAATCTATTATTGTTCAGACCTTGCTGTTGGAAGATGCTACTAGCAGGACACTTTTTCTTAAATTGCTTGTAATTTTTGTTACCCAAATTGCTGGGATACAAATTGCTAACTTTTCTAGCTGTGAGACCTAGAAAGAATTCTTGTAATGACTTACTTTTAAGTATCAGACTTAAGTAGGATAGTAGTCTCTGTTTTCAAACCAAACGGAAGAGAGGAAAGGAGGTTGAACACCTCATACGGACTAGACATACTCCAAAAATAAGAACCAGGGCAGATATATCTTCTTCAGAAAAATTAATAAATCTCAATAAAGAGCAGTTGAAGTTCAGATATACCTTTGAGTAAAGCAATGTTTATGGTTAAATTGTACCAAAGTTCTTATATAGGTTAAATTATAACCAAGTTCTTATATAGGTTATGTTGTACCAAAGTTCTTATAGAGAACAAAAGAAAGATGCTGTGTGTTACATGCACCCAAATACCTGGTGTGAAAAGCAGACAGTGATGAAGTCAACAACACCAACAGCATCTTACCTGCAGACCTATGGGACCGGGAGGGCCCGGGAAACCTCTGGCACCCTCATCACCTTTTTGTCCAAACATCCCCTGCTGTCCTCTAGGACCTGGTTCACCATCACCTCCCTAGAGAAAAGAAAAAAAGAAAAATTATCACAACCTAGAAAAATCAATATGATATGGTTATAAAAATGTGGCCGTTTCTAACTGAATCCAAGGAGACCAATTGGAGAATAACTATGTTAAAAATGGACTAAGTTCCCACCCGCTGCTACAAATACACCATGATTTGTTTCATGTGCTTCCTTTGCTTCTAGAGTACGAATGAGTTTGATTTGATCAGTGAAGTAAAATATGTCTAATAAGGAAAAATAATGTTCAAGATGTATTATGTATTATTACATCTCAACTGGGTGTTACCTAGTTTCAAACGAACTCATGATGTGTTTTAAAGAATCAGCTTGTTTAGCTATATTAGATGATTTAAATCGGATTCGATGTTAAGGATACAAACAAAACTTACTACCTCACAAAATCGACTGAATAGGACAGTTCGTAACTTTAATCAGGAAGCTGCAAGGATTTAGATGTGCTGAACAGATTACTTACAGCAATTCCAGGAGCACCAACTGGTCCTTGAAGACCTGGGGGACCCGGTGGACCCTGCAGTGAGATAAAAACCAGTAATTTTGCAATTTACGCCAGAAGAGCCTTGGCTATACAAAGCAGACTATTTGGCTGTTTGAAATCTATCAACCAACTTTACATTCTTAGGAAAAGAAGAAACATCGCTTAGATGACTTTTGCATTTAGAGCAGCCAAGCATTCCTATTTTACTCCTTGAGACGAAGACTTTCGTATTTGAAATTAATTACAAATGTTTATTGAAAGCACTTTGTCCGCAACATGCAGATATTTCAAAATATCTTTTCTGACAACATAAATCAAGTTGAAGATTCCCACTTGAAAACATTCAAAATAACAGACTTCTCTGCTGGGATACAAATGAATGGGAAGGATAACATGAAAAATGTGTAAACTATCTTCCAAATGAATAAGAGTCTGATGATTCTGCACAGACGGAAAGCAGTGATGTATGACTGTAATTTTCATGTATGCACATACATGTAAACTCAGTATTATATATTAAGTTTAACAGGACCCCTTATTTTGAACATTAGATGTCAAGACACATTAAAAATATTAATAACTCGTCAGGCATTATAAAAGATTAAGAAGTCCTTGGACTGTATGAATTAAAGCCCTTAGACTGTATTATTTCTTATCATAACTGCCAAATTTGTCTTTAGTGTAGACATTTGTGCTAGCGCTGCAAAACACAGGTGGATAAAATGGCTGGTGATTAGCACCAATCACATCTGTCGCTACCTTCTGTAACAGCCTTCATTACATTTTCATAACAATGTCCTTAAGATCAATCCAGAAATAGCTGTTCACTTCATCTTCTTCATGAAGCCTGAAAGTTCCTAATTTTATAAAGTACTGACTTGGAGTCCATGTTTTTTGACTGGCATGTGACAAAGTGGAAAAACACTTCGACGTACTGTTGCTTCCTGGGGAGATTCAATGCCTGACTCAAAAAGCCCTGAGACTCCAGCTGAATCGCAAGCTGAACTTTTACCTGCAATATCACCTTTTACGTGCAAAACATGTTTTACTTGAAACAGCAGCTGACCAAAAAAAACACTATGATCATCTAAACTTGGGAATTTGGCAGATATGCTGTTGAAGAAAAAGGAATCCTGAGACTTTGATGGAAACATCTGATGGTATTGACTGTCAATGATAAAATTTAAACTTCCAGGCAAAAGGTAGAATTTTGGAAATCTTACATCTTCCATTGTGGGCATCCCCAATTTCCAATTTGTTTTAAAGATATTGATATTCTATTTAAAATATGTCAATAATTTGAAGATCTTACCAGTCATCTGATATTTTCCAAGTGTCTAGTGAAAAGATATTGCAAAACTATGTATGAAAAAGTTAGTCCAAGTGCCAGAGAGAGCTAAGGGATGTTTATGTCATAGCAAAAAAACTGAATGTTTTTATTTCAGATTCTATATTGCAACTGACACTTATCAAATTTTGATGCAGAATCAGAATGTATCCAAATTGACCTGAAAATATATTCAAAGTGCTCCTTCCTTTTATAACTACATAATTTGATGATCTTGAATCTTCTTCATACTTTCAAACAAAAGAACATATCACTATAGCTGGAAGTAGATAAATGTATGAGAATAAAGTTTTTTCTACTAAGCCAGACACAAAAATGTCTAAAATGCTAGTCACACTGTATTTTTGGTTTGAGAAAAATATAGCAATCTCTTATTAAAAGTGCCTTGGACTTATTATTCTTAATTTTCAATTTTTCCATACATAAGTATTAAGGTATCACAATTTTAATTTATATCATAGTAACCCACCTGGGGAAAGCTTTTGGCTCTTCAAAAATATTCGGCGTATAAATGTGTTCCGAGGCAAAAATGTGTGAGAACTTCTGGCTTAAATAATAGTCGCTCGGTTATGTTTAATCATGTTGTTGACATACAAACAACTTCAAATATACCTTTTATCTAATGTAGAAGTATTTACTTATTTTTAAGAAATCTAAATGAAATCTAAAGAAAGTCATTTACTGCTGTAGTATTTTAATTTGTCCCCAGGAAACCTCATGCTGTAATTTGATTCCCAGTAGGAAGGTGAGGCCTACGAACGGGTGTTTGGGTCAGGAGGTGAATCCCTCATAGAAGACTCCCTGTAGTCAGTCCTCCTTCTGTGGAGACTGGATTGTTTCCCAGGGAAACATATTAGGTCCTCCTGCCACACTCAGAGTGGGTTGTCATAACGGCACAATGCAGATAGAATTGGGCCCCGCTTTGCGCCCGCCTGCACACACTTTGATAGCCTTTGCCATATTTTCATGCAGCACAAAAGCCCTTAGGAAAACCCTCCCTGATGCTGACGCCAGCACCATGCTTCTTGTACAGTCCAAAGACCATGAGCTAAATAAACCTCTTTTCTCTATAATTTACCCCGCCTTAGATATTTCTTTACAGCAACACAAACAGACTAAGGCCGATACTAGAGTTTGTAAATTTATAGTCAATACCAGTTGCATCAAACTTATCCAGCTAGTTTTCTGTACACAATAGCTCGTTATAATTTTATAGCATGTATCCAGACTATCAGTGTTGTTCTAAGGTTTTGTTACACTGGATAAAAAAAATCACTCAAGAGCCTATTGTGCATTAGATACTGCAATTCCCTTAAGTTCTTCCTATTCTGATTTTAGGGTTATCATTTTAGTTTTAAATATTCATCTCTTTGAGGACTTTGGTAACTATTCAATTTGAAACTCCAATCAATTCTAATAAAACTTCTTTTCAAAGTTATGTGTTAAAGTATGCAGGAATTCCAATGCTAAAAGCATCTGAATGATAGATGTATCCTAGGATAGAACTATAATAATCTATTAGAATTAAATTTCTAGAAACGATGTATGAAGTTCTCTACCGATAAAAAATAAATAACTTTAGGACATATCTCGGTATGCTGCACATTTCTATTGGAGAACAAACTTGAACACTTAAAGAAAGAAAAAATTCAAACAAAGAACTTAAAAAACTAAATGTCCGCAGATGTTCTTTAAAGAGTTTATGTCCTTTAGTAAGAAAGTGCTGAGGTGAAGTATATGAGACTATTATCATCCATCAGGATGAAAGGGATGACAGTTTTTAAATATTTATTTAAAGACGATGTAAAGTAAAAAAGACTAAAGAAAACATTTATAGAGGCAAGAGTGAACACATCATTTGTGTGAGAAATCAAAATTGCTTTGATAGTTTTATGATTTTAGAGAAAAACTCTAAAACAAGTATTTATGGTATATGAGAACGGATTTTTCAATTGGTGTGCACGTATGATAGAATATAGCAGTGGCATTAATTTTGATATATATATATTATTTCTCATGATCATATGGAAAAAAAGAAAGACTATTTTATTATATTATTCCTTCATTTGCAATCACAGATTTGTAAATGTTGGTCTATAATCATCACAATTTACTTCATTACATAATTGAAAATCTCACAGCATTGTACAGGATTATATACCCACAGAAAACATACAGTATGGACATTAGAAGCTTTGGCTAGTTCAGTAAGTAGGACTACATAGAAACATCCCAAACAAAAGCCGTTAACAAATAATGTTCTCTCAGGAAGAAGCAGGAAACTCACATTTTCTCCTTTGTCACCCTTGCTGCCTTTCTGGCCAGGTTCACCAATTTCACCCTGTATTTGGAAGATTTCAGTTAAAAATTGTCTCTAATATGTCACACCTGACACTGCCTTGTCTCTGTTATGCTCAAATTGGTAAATTTCACCTTTAATATAATCACATGCCACTGTTTAACGTCAATGTTGAAGATATAAAATTCTGGGGTGCTGCCTGTGGCTCAAGGAGTAGGGTGCCGGCCCCATCTACTGGAGGTGGCGGGTTCAAACCCGGCCCGCCCCCCCCAAAAAAAACTGCAAAAAAAAAAAAAGAAGAAGAAAATACAAAATTCTGGAGGGGTCTCACTTATTGCACACTATGCAAGGGTACATTTCGAAGCTAAGAGTGTATTCTCAATGTCTTACCACAAAAATACATAAGTGAGGTGACGGTTATGTTGGTTTGATTTAAGCGTTTCCACATTGTATATCAAATCATCACATTGTACCCCATTAATGTATACAGTTGTGATTTAATAAAAATTAAGAAAAAAAATAAAATTCTGGTTTCCTTCTGCTTCTAGCTTTCTAGTTTTGAATAATATATACACAAAAGTCAACTTAATGTCAAGGAATACTACACCTGGATTTATAACTAAAATATCAATTTTGTCTCAAATATAACTATTATAAGCTGATAATGAAAGTACATTGATTCATAGAAACTATAATCACACATTAACCAAAACTTACTTTTCTTTTCTCCTAGTTTTCCAAAGGCTAAAATGATGCACATTATCAGAGTGCTGGTTTATAAGTTTTTCATATTATTTTATTAAAAAATACTAAAATATATTAGGTTCAAACGTGACAACTCAGCTATATATTTGGAATCAAGAGATTAGAGTTTTTGTTCTATGCTGGTAAAAGATAACGCAATTATCAAGTAATTATGTCATTCATTGTTAAATGTCCGCTGTGTACACTACTATCAAAAACATAAGAGTTCATATATACACAAAATTATTTTTATATTAATTTCATAAGGACATTTGTAAAAATAAACAAATGTTGGCATTGACTATATTTTTCACTGCCATTCTTTTATTCAATTTCCTGTTGATAAACCACATAGTGTTTTATGGGCTATATACTAATTGTCAACTTTTTGAACAAAACTTTGATGGAAAATTTGTGAAACTTTGAAAAAGCTAACTTTTCATCTGGCATCTCATCTTAAAAAGATTAATTCCATCATTCTTAAAAAAAAAAAAAAACCTCATACTTTCGCACAAGATTTAGTAACATAAATGAAGAATACTGACCTTGTCCCCGTCTTCTCCCGGGGAGCCGGCAGGGCCAGCAGGGCCTGGGAGACCCACAGGACCTTGCACTCCATCTCTCCCTGCAGGGCCTTGGGGACCTTTTTCTCCCTGTACCAGAAAGCCAACATATCATTAATTTGATGTAAGAAATCTAAAAATTAGCTGTTTGATTCTAATTTTGAAGCGTAGCTATCACAGCCATAAGCTCCCTTCTGAATTTGACAAGGTAATTGCTTAATGTTTTTAATAAAAAATTTTCAAGTAACAAATGACAGCACCAAAGATCTCCACATTCATTAGCAACTGAGAAAAGTGTCTTTTTTTAATGATCTGTTGAATCTCAGGCTATGGGCCACAAACATAATTAGGACTCAGCTTTGAATTTTTCTTTCAACCATGTAGTTTGTAAGCAAGTATTATGTATGGACAAATTAGATGCCTGCTGCTTGCAAGAACTTGCTGAACGTCTCCTCCTTTTCATTAGTGCCACTGACATCCCTGGGTAATGGATCCCAGGCTTTAAAATCACACAATGCATTTGCTCGTACGTCCAACTTGATGAGTTGTCTTTTCTGTGTAACTCTTTCCTATTTTTCCACAGATGTTTCATGATTTTTCTAGATTTTGATATTTTCAATTACTGTTGCTTTTACTGATGCTACCTGACAAGGCTGTTAACTTTTTGTTTTTGTTTAGTTTTAGACAATGGTATCATTTTCCTGTTGTTAAATGTACCTATATGTGTAATAAAAAAAAAAAAAAGAATGCCTTGATAATGAAGACAACCTGTGTAGATTAAAACAACCCTTCAAAGTTTAAGATAAATTATTTTCTAACAGGCCTAACATTCACCCGTTCGGCTTAAGACGGTATTCTAGATCACATTCAGTGGTTCTGCTTGTTCTTGTTATGCAAGAGGGTGGCCTACAACTCATTATGCCCTGCCTTTGCGATACCTTCCTTTCTCCCACTTTCCCCCCTCCTCTCCTGCTCTTTTACAATGACTGGGTTTCACATATTTTATCTCCTAATTATTTCTTGAATATATTCACTTCATCTCCATCACTGACACCTTATTCCAAGATACTCGTATCCTTGCTCTAAGATCCAAATATAACTCCTATCTTTCCCCACATTTATTCAGAGAGCCAACCAGAGACATTACCTACATTTTTGGGGTCAATTTACTTGTTCTGTTCCTAAAATAAAGGCCAAGGTCAGCGTGGCTTACCACTGATCTGGCTTCGCCTACCTGCCCAACGGCACATGGCCAGGCAACCCTTGCTCTCTGCATTTCAACCCATCTAGATCTTTTTTTTCAGTCCCTTAAATCTGATGTCACTCCCTCCTGTCACATGGCCTGAGTGTGCTCCCGTGAGACCCCTTCACGTAGTTAAGTCCGCCTCATCCTTTACATGTTGCCTTAAAAGTCTATCTAAGGAAAGACCCCAATTCTAACTCTGGTCTCTGCTATAAACTGACATAGAGCACTGCATATCCTTCAGATCAATAACCCAAGTTTGTAATTATATATTAAGTACATTAAATAATTTAGCAATTCTTTATTATCTAATTTCCCACCAAACAATATGCAGTGTCAGGGCAGGAAATGTGTCTGTTTTCACATTCCATTATACAACCTTAGCCTGTGGTTCAAAGTCGCCACTTAGGGAGCATTTGTTGAGTTAGTTAATTAATGAAAACAAAAATAACAAAATATCTATAAAAAAAGCTTGTTTATCCTGATTTATCATTTGCCCAGTTTCATATTCTCTTGTTTTTTTCTAAAATACACTGTAATTATCATGTAAAGTATACCCTGATGTCACTCTGGAGTTATTTTCTTATGTCAAATATGATACTTATCTATACTCCTAAGATGTGCTGGGCTGTTCACAGTAAACTTTGCTGATTTATACACAACAGCTGTTTCCATATTTCCTCTTAATTTGAATTTTCCTGCTACTCTTAACTCCAAAAGTCAATTCTTTTTTATAAGAATGTCTGTAAATAAGACCAATAGATTCTCATCTGCCTTCATTATAGCACATATAATCTCCAGGCAGGAATCACTTACCATTTATTACTTCTGATCCTGGGGCTGTGTGGAGTCAGAAGAAATCCTTCAGCTGACCTACAGGGCTCTAAATTTAGATTTGCCATTTGTAACGCTTCAAGGTGACGTAACTCTCCCTACATTATGTATCTGTTGGCCCACAACGTAAGCAACTACTGGAAACATCCATCTTGCCTTAAGCAGTCAGTCTTTATTTCACCACTTTGACCCTCCATGTACATTAATAACTAGACCTTACCTTAAAAATTGATAGAGAGCCACACATTGCCATATCCTTGTTTGATGTGGCATGGTCTTACATTTAACCTCTACTCATACCCTCAACTGTTACTACAATTCCCAAAGCCATCCCTCCTTACTGAAAAGCTCATTCATCTGTTTGTTTTTGCTTTATTACTTCATCCTTCTTGATGGCAACTCTGGTTCACATGCTGCTGCTGCTGATTCCAAACATTTATCACAATTCTGCAAAGTGGTGTAGAGTCATAATTTTTACCTCCTCCTCACAAAATACTGATTATCTTCCTTTCAAAGATGAAAAAAGAGAAGTTTTGATGTTAAATAACCCAAATCACGAACTAAACAAATGATAGAGCTAGTTCCCAAGACAATTCTGGTTCCAAGTAGGCAGCCTTCGTCTGACTTCCTTAATTCCCTCACTTTTTGCTGATTCTTTTCTTATTATTGGTAAAGCAGATAAATACGTGTACAGTACAGTAAGGAGAGGCATGCGTTCCATCCTCCACCACCTCCACCTGCTGCTCATTCTTCCTCTGGCTCCCTGCCCCACATTCACCTGCTGCACTCCACTTCCTCATTGTTCACTTTCTTTTTGAGTCTTATTATAAGCATCCTAAAATCATGTATGTCTGCAAGTCAAATCTCAACGTCTCTTTTTGCTTCCAGTATTCACAATCTTTTACAACATCTAACAAAAGAGCACTCTTTTCTCTCTTGGCCTATTTGATGGTCTGCCTCTGGAGATTTTATCTATCTGTATCATCTATAATCATGGACTCTTTTTCTCTCTTAGTGGATCCTTTCAATACTCATACCCATTATTATTTTCCATAAGGAATGAATTCTGGGACAGGCAGGGCAGCTCACACCTGTAATCCTGGCACTCTAGGAGGCCAGGATGGGAGAATCCTTTGAGGGCAGGAGTTCAGGACTGGTCTGAGCAAGAGGCAGACCCTCATCTCTGAAAAAAGTACAAAAAGTAGGCTGGGCATGGTGGCTCAGGCTTGTAATCCTAGCACCCTGGGAGGCCGAGGGTGGATTACCCTGAGTTCAGAGGTTCGAGATCAGCATGAGCCAGGGTGAGATCCCATCTCTACCAAAAAATAGCCGGGCACTCTGGCAGGTGCCTGTAGTCCCAGCTACTTAGGAGGCCGAGGCTAGAGAATCACTTAAACCCAAGGGTTGGTGGAGGTTGCTATGAGCTATGATTCCACAGTACTCTACTGGGGGCCACAAAATGAGACTCTATCTCCATAAAAAAGACAGAACTAAAGAAAGCAAGCAAAATAAAATTTAAAAAAAACTTTAAAAAGATTGAAAAGCCAATTGAAGGCAAAATTAAAAATTACAAAAACTAGCTGGGAATGGTGGTGCCTGCTGGTAGTCCCAGCTACTTAGGGGGCTGAGGCAGGAGGATCACTTGTGCCCAGGAGTTTAAGTTTGCAGTGAGCTGTGATGATGTCTCCTAATGACAAAAGGAGATTGTGTCCCCCCACCCCCCGCAAAAAAAAAAAAAAGAGTCCAGATTTCCATTCTCCTCCCTCATGGTTCAAAACACCACTTTAATTCTAATCGATTGACAGATTTACAATCCTGCCACTGATCATTCTCTCTGCAAATATATGTTTGAAATTATAAGTGAATATTTGGAGCCTAATTTTCCAACTACCGTTGTCTAATTTATTTGTATTACTGCAGTGACTTCACTGTATTTTGGATTTCCTTGCCTTTCCCCAACCGTCATTTCTACAACTATCCCCCAAATAGACACTTAAGTAACACAGATTCCTATTTGTAATCCTTGCATTCATTACTTCTCCAACACAGTTAATAGGTTTCTTTCGGAATCATTTCCCTATCAAAATACTGTATCAATGCAATTAATCTGAAAGAGGTTATTAGCTCCTTTCTTCTTACCTGCTCTCCAGCCCCACCTCTAAGAGTTTCTAATCTGACCTATTAATTTGGGATCCTGATTAAGCCATAGATTTGCTATAAATATGTCAATAAATACTCCTGACGCTTGTTTTCCTGATTCTCCCTTCTAAGACGTAGAGTTGAACGGTATGTGGACCAAGAACTTGCCTTCCACAGGCCCCTTGTCTGTCTTTTATTTGGAAGCATAAACCTGCCGATAACTGCATAATATTTTTATTTAAAAAGCTGCTTAGAGGAAGTAAGACCAAAAATTTATATTTGGGATGAGAAGGAAGTAAAAGGCTATAGTTAACAATTAACATTTTGTCATCTCCGCCGGTTATTACTAGACCTTTCGGGGATATCCAGGGGCAGTTTTACCCAGGAGTCTTATATCCACTTTATGTTACTATCCCTAAGTAGACACCTCCTTCAGAAGTACTACCTAACACAGTGGCCAGCACTTATTCTAAATAACTATTTGTTGAATAAAAGAAAACGGAATGAACACTGCAGTTGGAGGTGGTGGGAATGGCTGAGTAAGGATAGATGAGGAATCCTTCTCTGCCTCCCCTAGTCATGACATCCTCAACTACCAACAAAACTCAGGTCCAAATCCTCGATCTCACAAGGGCCGTGTCAATAACTTCTCATCTGTCTCACCAAGTTGATTTCTTGTTATGATTCTCAGTGCTTTTTCATGGTCTTCTCTTTGTTTCATTATTTTTCTTCTTAATAAAACCAAGGTCATTTTCACTTTAAAACTCACCATTCACTATTTCATCTTCACAGAAGTCTTGACTTCTCTAAATAGCATATTCTCAATTTCTATATTGCTTTTCTCTATATGCATATAGAATTGTGCTTAGATGCATATGTTTTGGATTGTTAAACGAACATATATCAATGCATTTGAATCCATTTCCTTTCCATTTTCACCCAGTACATAGCACAATATAAATATATATTGCCTTAGGAAAAATTCTCAGCATATTAAAAGTGCTTTTTCTGTCACATAAAAATTCCACCCACAGGGGGTATAGCCCCATTCTTACATTTTCTTTAAAATGTTTCTAAAGGTAATTTATTATTAAAATTTTTTATTTGGAAATTGCTTTTGTGGTGTCACCCAAAAATATGTGTTGGAAATGTAATCCCCAATGTAACAACGTTGAGAAGTGAGGTCTAAGGAGAGGCGATGAGACCATGAGGGCTGAGTGGATGAATGAATTATGCCGTGATTGCAAGAGTGGGGTCATTATAAAAAGGAGTTTGTTTCCCTTTTATTCTCTCTCTCTCACTCTTTCTTTGCTCTCCCACCATCAAATAACGTGGCCAGAAAGCCCTTGCCAGATGTAGCTCCTCCATTTTGGACTCTCCAGACTCCAAAACTGTGTGTCAATACATTTCTACTCATTACAGAAGTCTGTGGTATAGTGTTATAGCCACACAAAATGAGCTAAGACAGAAACATCTGAATAATAGCATTGAATAATGAGAAAAAAAATGCATGGATAATGAAAGCAATTAACTTGCTAACCTGAAAAAGCATTTGGAACTATAATCCTATACTGAATTATATATGTCAAGACTTAACAGAATTGAAAAGCATTAAACATAATACTTTTGTGTATCATAGCCTATACTTTTTATCCACATTTACTGAATCAGTTTGTGTTTTAATATTGCAAGATGAGAGAATTAAAAAAAATCAATATGATTAAATAAAAAATCAGGGACAAATCTTAACCAAAACGACGTAAACTGCCTGGAGTCCAAAATCATTTAAATATAAAAACGTTAAAATCCAATAAATATAAGATGAAATAATTGGTCAGAGGTTTTCCATATCACTCACTGGAGATCCAAGTTCAAATTATAGGAGAAGGGCTGCCACTTTCTGTGGGTTTCATTTACGGACTATGGAAATGCTTGAATTGAATTTATATTACAAGAGGTATGAAAAGTTCACATATTCCTACTATAAAGCACCAAGGTATAGTTTTAATCAAAACTCCCAATTTTATTTTTTTAAAGGAGCAAAATGAGAAGCTTTTTACATTCATAATATCCAACTCCCTCACAGCTATTAGGGTTTCATAAACTGCGGGAAAAAAGTCATCTCATTTAATTGAATTTGAAATTTTCCCCATTATAAATATAAAAGGAGTTGTGTTCATATGCCAGGCACATAGGCAGGGAGAATGCAGTGGGATATGAAAAGCTAATATCCTTGAATAAAAAGTCACACTTGTGCACAGTAACAGTATAATAATGAATTTTCTCCTCGACATTACTTACAGGAGCACCTTTCTCTCCAGCAGGACCGGGAGGGCCCTGGGGTCCAGGGCGCCCTGGCAAACCAATCGGGCCAGCTGTGCCTGCAGATCCACGCTCTCCTGGAGAGCCCTAGCACAGAGGAAAAAAAATAATTTGTGATTAATGATGAATTGTTACTGGCTTAAGAATCATGTATTTAACAACAGAGCCTCATAATCTAGTAAATTATGTAAAAGTAACTTTTAGACAACTTTGAGATCTCAAAGCAGAACAGCTGTACCCATCATTTTGGATATTAATTTTCAGCCCCAATATTAATCACAGATGTTGAAGCTGGAAAATATTGATAAGATAAAAATTACTTCTCCAAATGTAGAGAAACTTTGCCAAAAATATAGTTAAAAGAAATTGTAAAATTTGATCTTAACATAAACAAAGGTAGCATTTTCACCTGTAATGAAGTGGATATTTAAAATCAAACAGGAAATGTTCTTTATTATGTGTGATTAATTAAGAGTTGTGCAAAAATTACATTTTTATCAATCAAGTATTCCAAATACTAAAGAGGAGGGTACAGTCACAGTTGTATTTTTCAGGAAATAAACATCTACTCTTCTGTCAATGTATGTATTCAATTTAATAATATAGAAATATTTTTATTAAAAAAACAACTACACATATATAATTTCACCAGCTGGAGGACATTGGGATACTACAGAAGAGAAAAATTACTGTAGCATTTTCTAAGTATAGTATTTAAGTTGGTGCAAAAGTAATTGTGGCTTTGAACCATAAATTTTAAATCATAACGAGGCTCAAACAAATCTTTATTAATCAATAAAACACACAGTTGCCAATGAGAAGTATGTTTGTTTCTTCCTATAGCATAAAAATTCATGCTTCAAGATTCAAGGAACTCTGGGAAAGCAGTTTTGGCATCCTGCTGGTTGTGAAAGCTTTTTCCCCCGCAAAAAGTTGTCATGCTTAAATGTCGGGTACCAGCCCCAACTATGCCACAGTTCCCTCCCAGTGGCTTGGCGGAAACAAGAGGACAAAGAACAATGAAAAAACAAGAAACAAGGAGAAAGTTTAAGAAGTAGCCAGGCCAGGAGGCAGTGTGCCTTCTTCATAGGGTTCAACACGGCATGCAGCGTCTTGCTCCAGGCCAGCTCCATTTTTATTTCATACACCATTGTTTAAACCACAAATCTCCCGAGGGAAAGGCAAACAATTGCATTATGGTTCTAGCTGTGCTTGCATTTTCTAACTAAACTGTTTCTTTAACTAACTACGTTAATTGGCTGGATTTACTTTTATTGCTCTAAGGCAGTGGTTCTCAACCTTCCTAATGCTGCAATGTGTTTTCATTGTTAAAAAGGGGTCACGACCCAAAGGTTGAGATTATGATCTTAATTTCAAACAGAACATGGGACGCAGGATGTCACAGAAGACCCCAATTAGGCCACGCACACATATCACAGGAGTGGCGATTAAAACTCAGAGCCTTGTTTCTTGACAGACTATTCTGGTCATACCAAGGTGACAAAAGAAAAGAGATATTTTATCACCTTTTTCTGGTCCAGAGCAAATCTTGCTGTCTTTAACAAGGTTTAAACATTCTACATACCCTAACTTCTCAAAAGCACTCCCTCTTAGAGCGAGCAGCCCCGCCCACCTGGGTCAGTCTGCTTAGAGACCTCTCTGGCTGGAGAGTCCTGATTTCCGCAAGAGGCTTCTTGAGTTTTAAAGGCGCCAGACCTCCAACAGCGCCTGTTGTGCTGAATCTCTGGCATCCACTTCTCTCCTGTTTCTGTTTTCCTTTGCCCATATTCTACAATAATTTCCTTAATTCAATTCCTAACCTACTTATAACTAATACTTCAATATTGGTTTTAAGCTTATTAAATCATTCTTACTAGCAAAGCAAATACATCAAGATATGACTCTTCCCTGAAGCACTCCCACGTGAGCCGCACTTGAAGAAGTGGGAGTGGGTTGGCGAGAGGTCAAGTGAATACAGAGGATGAGGCAAAACTTCACAGCCCAGTTCATTCAACTGTTGAAGCATTGACTGTGTGATGCATGGTCGGATGTTGTCATGAAGAATTGAGACCTTTCCATTGACCAATATTAGCTGCAAGTGTTGCAATTTTTAGTGCATCTCATCCATTCTCTGAGCATAATTCTCAAATGTAACAGTTTCACTGGGATTAAGAAAACTGTAGACGGTCAGACCGGCAGCAGACCACAAACAATAACCATGACCTTTTCTTTGGTGCAAGTTTGGCTTTGGGAAGTGCTTTGGGGGTTCCTCTCAGTCCAACCACTGAGTTGGTTTCGCCATTTGTGGTATAAAATCCACTTTTCTTCACAAGACACAATCTGAAGGAGAAATGGTTCATTGTTGCGTAGAGTAAGAGAAGAAGACGCTTGAGAAGGATGACTGCTCTGATTTCCATTTGGTTCATGAGCACCCACTTGCTGAGCTTTTTCATCTTTCCAATTTGTTTCAAACAATGAACAGCCATGGAGTGGCTGACATTGAGTTCTTCGGCAACTTCTCCTGTACTTCTCACGAGCAGCTTCGATTGTTGCTCTTGGTGGGCTTTGTCAACCTCCTATGGCCGCTCACCACGCTCCTCCTCATCAAGGTTCTAATCTCCTTCGCAAAACTTCTTGAGCCACCACTGCATTGTACGATTGGACCTTTGCTTGTTAGTCGTACCTGTGCCAAATGTGTTCTTGACGTTGTGAGTTATCTCTGCTGCTTTACAACCCATTTGGAACTCAAATAAGAAAATGACTTGAATTCGTTTTCTGGCTAACACCATTTTTCTAGTCCAAAATAAATATAATATAAACAGCAAGTTATAAGTAACTGGCAATAAAAAAACATAAAGCAAGAAATGTGCATTAAAATGATACATAACATAACACAGTTATTTAAGTATGTATTCTAGGATCAGACGGCAAATTTCAACAACGCAAAAACTGCAATTACTTTTGCACCAACCTATACATTCAAGAAATCGGGTCTAGAAGTGAAAAGAACAACAACAACAGAAAAAAGAAACTGTGCTAATCATTGAAGAAAGTGAGTCATGAGGATAGGAAGGAAGAACAGAAAGGGGATAAGAAGGGCAACACCAAGAAGAGCAAGATCAAGGTCTCTGAATTCAGAGCACAGTGCAAATGTATCTCTTAACTCACTAAAAGTGCAAATGTATTTCTTAACTCACTTACTTCTTTTTTGAAACATAAAAATATCAATACAACACAACATAATGAACCTAGGCTCTTCTGTTTTGTTCAGGTTAAAATTAAAACGCCCGAAGATAAATCTCCACGTATCCAAAAGCTGATGGATTTATCCAGTATCAATGTACATACAAGGTGACTGAATTACATTTTTTGTTTGAATACTTTACTTGTAAATCTCAGAAAAGGATTACTGCCCAATTTTTTTAATCTAAAATAAGCATCCAATTTAAATGCCGAGGTATTTTATTTGTTAATGGCTATACAAAAACGATGCAATTTTGATTTGTCTGGCCATGAATTTTTTCTTTTTCCTTTCCTGATTAAGTCGTACTGTTCAAATAAGACCTGAGGAAGATGTCACACTAGATGTGTAGAAATTGACAGCTATGACCAGAATGACACAAGGGGAGAATCACGAAGAAGCAGAAGCTTATATTAAAAGAATTTGTTATTTTCCAGTTACTGCTAAGTAGTTTGCATATGTAATTGCTGAATACTCTGTACCTTTTTCAGGTAAAAGCCGTAAGGCTGTGTGCCCTGATTCACTACAACGTTATTCCTACAATGCTTACTAGTTTATAAATGGTGAAAAAAAAAAAAAAAAAAAAAACCCTGACTCATTGTAACCATAAAATTCATATAATTGTATTGAATTTTAATAAGCAGAAGAAATGTAACCATTTATTTACACGTTTATTTGGGCTAACCTCTCTCTAAAATGAGCAAATTTAAAAGAATTCATGAAAGTCCTTATCTTCTTTATCCAAGGAGTCACTCGCTATCATCCGTTTAGTGCATTGGAACTTAGTACTCAGTTCATCTTTGTGTGTGTTTAAAATTTTTGATGTTTACATTTTTCAGAGTAAACTTTGAAACATATATGCCTTAAAACACATTAACAGTTCATTTGAAATCTCTTTTCCTTGTTACTATTACTTATATATTTGTAATTTTCACAACATCAAAGATCTGTTTGCAGTTTTGATAACCATTCTACCCCTGAGATATTACAGAACTTTTCATCTTGTTGCACTCTCAATTTTAAAGGAAAATGCTTCTTTTTCATCTGTGCTGAACTGTGAAATGGTTTGTGTTAATTCTCATTTTTAAGAATACATTGTCCCAGGGCAGCGCCTGTGGCTCAAGGAGTAAGAGCATTGGCCCCATATACCGGGGATGGTGGGTTTGAGCCCAGCCTCAACCAAAACTGCAAAAAAAAAAAAAAAAAAAAAAAAGAAAGAAAGAAAGAAAATAAAAAGAGTATATTGCCCCTAAATAATCCCAGAAAAATACTCACACACACATTCTCAGTAGAGAAAGAAAATTATTTTCTCCAAAAATACCTTCTAACTGTCCTTCTAACACATTTTTACCTCCAAATATTTGGTCATACTTATCTTCTGGCCATGGCCAAAAACTGCAAAATAAAAAAAAAAAAAGAAAGAAAGAAAGAAAGAAAAGAAAAAGAGTATATTGCCCCTAAATAATCCCAGAAAAATACTTACACACACATTCTCAGTAGAGAAAGAAAATTATTTTCTCCAAAAATACCTTCTAACTGTCCTTCTATGCACATTTTTACCTCCAAATATTTGGTCATACTTATCTTCTGACTGGGGAAGCTTTTGATCTTTTCCTGTACTATTAATATTCCAGCCATTTTTTTCAGGCCCAGGTAAAAATCGTCATGCCAAAAAATGGTATTTCTCTGAAAATTAGAAGCATGAGATGCCTTTCAAAGTTTTTTCCGTGGAGTCTGTCATAGTACTCTAGGTTCTCTGCAATTAGTTTCTGAATCAATTAATATAGAACTTGGCACTGAGTTTTGTGTGGCAAGTGTCTCCACATTCTCTTCATCCACACTACCC